CACCTTTAAAAAGATTCCCACATCCCAACTCATTCAGAGAACTTGCAGCCGACATCGATATTTCAGGATAAGCATTGTGTGTAGGCTGAAACTTGTCAGCTACCTAACAGCAGCGAAAGCAATTAATGTTAATGGTGTTCATTATATATTCATTAGATAACATAATTCATTCTGAGAAACTCAGACTGCTAAAGAGAAGGATGCAAATAGCAGCTGTTAATTTCAAAGTCTTTGAAGATTAACCCCCCCCAAGGGAAAAATAATCTGTGACACCAAATTCTGATTCCCACCCGACTCGAGCTGAGGGCGTGTGTGAATGTAGTAGCCCTTACTGTGGGCTTTTCTGCTGTTTAAAGCCCCTCTGAGTGGCCTGCATTGGGAAACCATTTTGGAGATGCCTTTATAGTCCCTTATTGTTCTCTCATTCAGAGTGTTCCTAGTACTGTCCAGCCCCTTCTCTCCCCTCTGATCCTTCTGTTACTGTCCTGGCACTATGATTCCTCGGCATTCCTCACAACTTGAAACAATGGGGCAGATTTTCAAACACATTAGGTCCACAATTTAGTACCTAATCTCTGCTCATAATTGTACAGTGTGCATACTAATTGGGCAAGTCCACACACAGTTTGGCTGTGTGTGTATATGTCTGTGTATGCGCATGCACACATTCTATTATCTGATTTGCATGCTCAAAGTAGGCTAGCAATTACATTTGCATTTTGAATGCCCAACTGGGTATCTAGCTTGTTTGAACCTCAGGCCCGTTATGAACAAAGGTGAGAGCTACAGGCTTGAGTGCGACAAAATATGAAAAGAATGAAGTGCAGGGTGATTTCTGGATTCCAAGAGTAATTCCCTGAAAGGCCTTCCCTTGGTTCTATTTGATGTCTCTCTTGTTTTTAGACGGGGATGGCCGGAGACTCAAAGGCGCTATCCAGCGGAGCACAGAAACCGGTCTGGCTGTCGAAATGCCAAGCCGGACGGTCCGTCAAGCCAGCCATGAATCCATTGAAGACAGTATGAACAGCTATGGATCTGAAGGAAAGTAAGTCTGCAGGGGCCAGCTGGATAATCACTTCTGGAATGCTCCATTCCCCCTAAACCTATTTCTTCTTACATGATAGATGATACATTTGTCTGACTTACACATGCTGTAGGTGCATTGGCAGGGAATTCAGTTACTCTAAGAGTCAGAACAGAGCAGTTCTTTCCCTGCAAGGTTTGCAAATAGTTTTACTGTTCATACACTTCTTTTAGTATGCTCATGAGTCTGACCTGAAGAGGATACCCATCACTTATTACAGACTTGCCTTTAAAAGAAAACTCTCTGGAGTGGTTATTGTAAATAAGATTACAAGTGTCGATGTTTATAATGTGTTACATTTCTGTTGTCTGTCTTCTCCCACAAACGCCTTGGACGGGAAATGATTGTGTCAAGGGATGAAGGGGATATATCTAGCAAGATAATCTCTAGTAAATAATTAAATACATGTTATACTCTTGGAAGTGTTAACCTTCTGGTGTCTGAGTTATCATTTTCGAGCGATATATTTAGAAACCTTTCTGGGCCTGCAGAACAGTGATAGCATGATACGCTGGATTTGGGCCTTGCAGTTTCATGACAGTACAAATCTTGAAGCATAGAAAATACAGACAGGCCAACATTTCGGGGATCTGAGTTGCTTGAAATTCTGATTTTGTTTTTGCATGGTTTGAGGCAATGTGTGGAGATGATCACTTTTTCTATCCAGGGGCCTTCCGAGGGAACCTTTTTGGGCAAACTCTTCTGCAGTAAGAAGGGGGCCATGTTACATCAGATTCAGTGCACGTGGATGAAAGAGCAGTAACTGACTTCACAAGTTCACAGCGTGTAACTAAACTCAGTTTTTGTTCCGTTTAGATGTGCTACTGAAGTCTGAATTGGAATCAAGTATTAACTACCAGCTGTGGCTTCTGTCTGTCCTATCTGTCCATTCATTCATGGCATTCCAAATGAACCCATCACTGAACTGTCTAGGTGCCCATGTAGACCTAAGGCTCTCTAAAATAAATAATAATTAAAACTGTATGATGAGAAAAGTAACTACTTTAAGGCAAAACCAAACTTTCCTTTGATATATGAACAAGGATAACAGTGGGAACACTACACAGATCTGCATCCAGGGCAGAAATAATAATAATTAGGAGCTGTCTCTGAGGCAGAAATCCTGTCACTCCAAAGCTGTAGTGTAGCTTATCTCCTCTGTGAGGACCTGCCTCCAGGGAAATATCCTGCCACACTCACACAGTCCTGCCACTCTGAGTTCTGCCTTCACTCCAAGACTTGGAGGATTAGAGATTAAGCCCTGTTCCTTGGCAATGCAGGCTGAGAATCTGCTTTCCCTGCAGGGCAGGATTCTTTCCTTTCCATTTATGCAGTTTGGCCTCTCTGGCAGGCTGTACAATCCTTTGGGACATCTGTGCCGTATTCCTGCATAGCCACACAGACATGGCCAGGCATTGGTAGAGAAATAGAAGCCTCTTCCAATGAAATTACTGCACCTCGGGAAATGCCGTTGTGCTGTGGTGTGCTGCACTTGCAAAGGTAAATAACACGTAACTATAAGCTTGGCATAGGAAAATAAATCCTTTCATGCAACTCCCACGTATTTGTTAAAGCTGCTATAAAATTCCTGTTGTAACCATTTTCTCTCAAATAAGAAGTCAGAATGTTCTAGAGGGCTCTGCCAGGCATGGGACAGCTCTCCCCATACTCCTCTGGAAAGGGTGATAAATGTTTTTTGTATGCTTTTTTTTTTTTTCCTCAGCTCAGTTAATTGAACTCTTTTAGAATCCCCTCCGGTATCAGCAATTATCCATCAGAAGCATAAGTGACTAGCAAACAGGGTTGAGAGCACGAAGAGCCCATAAAGCTGTACGTGCTAGAAACATGTTGAGATATTGGATTATTTTTAGCATTCTTGTTCTTAACAAAGAAGGGAAGCATTTGGGGAGTTGTTCTGAGAACCAGAAATTTAGACTCTATGTTAAACCAAATCCATTTTTGCCTCTCTCGCAGCCCGCAGAACACAATTACAGCAGGAGAAAAGGAGATTTATGTGACCACGTTAGCTCTGGCAGGGTTTTCTTTTTAGTGCTTGGTTTCTTACTGCTACAGACATAATGAGGACAGAGACCGTCTTCGCTTAAGGCCTTTAACAAACCAATTTTTAACAAGATAAGATTGCACCAATATTTCAAGCCCTACATCAATATGCAAATTCCTTCCAGGAGGGATCACGGGTTCTAGGCCCATTCTCCAAAAGTGCTTGCTTTGGGAACTCAGAGTATATTTTCTTATAATCCTCCATGAGAGGGAGGACTACCTGGAAGATCTCTTAACGACAGCCTGTTAATCCTCAGTACCTTTCAGTCCGCAGGTGAAGCTCTGGAGCGGGGGTCGGCAACCTATGGCATGTGTGCCAAAAACGGCACGCGAGCCAATTTTTAATGGCACGCTGCTGTCTGCCGGGGACAGCAGCATGCAATTAAAAATCCGGCCCGGCCCGGCCCACTCTTCTCCGCCCACCGCTCTCTCCTCCAGGGCAGGCAAGCTTCCCCCTCGCCCCGCCTCTTCCCCCAGCATGCAGGGTTCCTATCCCTCCTTCTCTACCTCCCTGCGGCCGATCAGGTGACAGACCTTGCTACGGAGGGGGAGAGGGAAAAGCAGAGCCGCAGTGCGCTCTCTGCTCCGGGGACGTAGGGGAAGGGGGTGGAATCAGCATATCCCCTCCAGCCCCCTGCCGTGAGCCGCTCAGGGCAGGGGGCTGGGAGCACCCCCACGCCCCCCAGCCCTCTGCCCTGACCCCTGCACACTCCCAGCCCTCTGCCCTGACCCCTGCATCTCCCTCACACACCCCCAGCCCTCTGCCCTGACCCATGAACCCTCCTCACACACACCCAGACCTGTGCCCTGACCCCTGTACCCCCCCACAACCCCAGCCTTCACTCCGGCACCCCTCACACATACCCAGCCCCCTCAGCTCCCTGCCCTGACTCCTGCACCCTCCCCACACATACCCAGCCCCCCCACACCCCATGCCCTGACTCTTGCACCCCCACATCCACATCCCCACCCCCACCTTGAGCACCAAACGGGAGCTCCTGCACACACCCACATTCCCACCTGCATCCCTTGCACCAAATGGGAGCTGCCCAGGTAAGCGCTCCACACCCAAACCTCCTGGCCCCAACCCTGAGCCCCCTCCCTCATTCTAGCTCTTGGCCAGACACTGCACCCCAACCCCCAGCCTGCTCCTTCACCCCCAGCCCTGTTCTCAGTGCACTCCCACCCTCATCTCAGTGCAGACAGAGGAAGAGAATGGGCCAGAACCAGTGAGAAAGTAGGTACCTACTCTATGGCAGGGCCAGGACCCCAGACCAGCAGCCGGCTGAGCAGGGCCGGCAGCCAGGACCCTGGCTGGCAGGAGCCGGCAGATGGAACCCCAGACCGGCAGCGGGCTGAGCCGCTCAGCCCACTGCCGGTCTGGGGTCCCGGCCGCTGGCCCCGCTCAGCCCACTGCCAGTCTGGGGTTCTGGCTGCCGGCCTCTTGCCAGCCGGGATCCCGGCTGCAGGCCCCGCTCAGCCCGCTGCCAGCCTAGGTGAACAGAACCCCAGGCTGGCAGCGGGCTGAGCGGGCCGGCGGTGTAAGATCAGCATTTTAATTTAATTTTAAATGAAGTTTCTTAAACATTTTGAAAACCTTGTTTACATACAATAATAGTTTAGTTATACAATATATAGACTTAGAGAGAGAGACCTTCTAAAAAACGTTAAAATGCAGTACTGGCATGCGAAACCTTAAATTAAATTGAATAAATGAAGACTCTGCACACCACTTCTGAAATGTTGCCGACCTCTGCTCTGGAGTTCTCTTTTTCCTGAACGAGGGAACAGAATCTCTGCTCCCAGTAATTGGAGTTATACATGCTTTTAAAAAATGGAGACTCGATTGATGCGCTCATTTCACATATATTTAATTCATTGGGCGTGTGGCTAGCAAGAGTTGTACTCATCTCGTTTCAGATCCAATAGAATTACAATGGTAGAATTTTCCTTCGTGTAAAATTCTAAATGACTTAGTTTATAGTGGGGATTAAGTGTGAATATCACTGCGTGTGAAATCCAGATGATTTCATTTAAAGTTGTTATATAAGAATACAGTTATTTTAAAGTACTGTTGGGTCTAAAAAAGAGGTGCTTACCAGAGCCTTTATAATGTCAGCATGGCGCTCTTGGTTTCTTTAATCTTTCTTATACAAAAAAAACTCACTCACGTAATCTTTTTTTCAGCACGGTAGTTGTGCTATTACCAATAGGTACTTTGAAATAACTTTCTTCCTTTCAGACATTTTCAAATACCTATTTTTGAAAATTTCTCTTGAGAGTTACCTGTTTCAGTACGTTCCCAGCATACAGTGTCATGAGCAAATGGATCAGAATTTGACTTGTGTGTGGAACTTACAAATAAACATCTGATAGTTTAACAAGGAGCAAAGAAATTCAGGTTTGAGCCTGGTTCCTCCATGCCTTATCCTCTGCTCGAGCTCTGTTATGCTGGGGTTTTGCTCCCTCTGAACGAAATGATGTTACATGACATTCAGGAGGCAAACAGGGACTCATAGGTGCTGGAACTAGGGATACAGAGGGGAGATGGGGGTGCTGCATCAGTCCCTAGCTTGAAGTGGATTCTGTTATAGACAGGGTTTACAGTTTGGTTCAATGGCGATCAGCACCCCCACTATACAAATTGTTCCAGCGCCCCTGCAGGGATTGTTACATAACCCTCTGCCAGCCCTTTTTTTTTAAATGCTGTGTGAGGAGATGCAGCCCTGGAACAGAAGATTGCTGGTGGCCAGAAGCTATAATGTGTGGTGCTTGTAGGCCTTCTTGTTTTTGCTAACTACTGCTGGGATGATTAGGATGCAGGAAACAAAGGTGATTTGCTTGTCTCAGAAGAGCTCAGCAGGTGATGACTAGTGAAGGCGCAGAAGAGTGATTGTGTAATATGTGAGGAAATTAGCAAGCCTGTCCAGCAACTCTGGACAGTATGTATAATTACAGGGAAACCCATCCCAAGCAACCACTCAAGGAACTGGAAAATTTCAGTTGCTTAATAGATGTAATTTTGTAATGTAGTCCGAGTAGATTTGAATCCAGGACGTTTGAGGATACTTTGTGGTGGGATACTAGGAGCTTGCCTAATAAGGTGCGGGTGGGAGAGGTCTCTTGTGCAGGTTTCACTGAAGAACTTTTTGATAACGTTGTTAACATGGCCAAAAATCATACAATCATACAAGGAACTTGCAATACCAATGGAGAACACCATGTTACAGAAAACTAGCTGGTACGTCGTGCTGCTAGAAAGCTTTGCTGCAGAAAGTACTAGGGTAGCTGGTGGGGAGGGGGCTATTGACCAGAGCTATGACTGCATCAGCAGAGCTTGTAGAAGAGCTGGTGTAGGGCTCAAATAGCAAAGAATGTTGCGTAGCTGAATAGAGATGACTAAACAGAGCTGTGTCATTACTTCACGACACTATGGTGGTGGGTTTTATAGAGAACCTTAAGACAGATAGGTGAAGTGAAGGTTCCCAGGGAAGAAACAGGATTCATGCTGCCTAACTGGACATGTTCCAAAGTACTATTCTCTTGTAGCAATTCAGGAATGCTAATGACTAATAATGTCCACTGTGTACTGTCAACACTGAAAATGAGAGAGTTTGGGTTAAATATACTACGACCTAAACAAAGAAATTCTGCATCCTGCTGAGCTGACAGATATTCAGCTGGCCACTAAACTAGACAGATTATGAAATCTGAATGCTGGGAGGCCTTAAAAATGAGCTAGATTATTACACAGAACCATGGGCATAGTTTGGTGGGAGCAGGGGGGTGTTGCCCCCCACAAAACTGCAAGCCTTGGCCAGGCGTGGAATTTGCCTCCCCAGCGCATAGCCCCAGTGACCTGACTGGAGCTGCCCCGTCAAATATAGAAATCAAACTATGCCTGTGGACAGCTGGGATACCCAGTTATTACACAGAACATTCCTCTTTCATGGAAACTGGCTTGCTGGGTGGAACCTCTGAAATCCTCCGCACCTCCAGTGAAGTGATGAAGTAGCAGCTGATGAAGTAGAAGTTCTCAGTCTTACAGGAAACTTATCTCCTTTCCCTGAGAGAGACAGCTACACCTGCTTCTTACAGCCTGTGAAGACAGAAACAGAGGGCTGACCTGTGTTGTAAATGAAGCTATGAAAGAAAGTCTTAACTCTAAAAGGCTGTCCACTGCATTTATTCTGTAGTGTGGTCATATTCAGGCAACTCACTTATTACTGACAGTTGGGGGAGGTGATGTGTCTTTAGGAAATAATCATTTCTGATCCTTGCAGCATCCTGTCTTTGAACACATGCCATTTCAGAAGGAGTTCTCGATCTTATATTCATACTACATACAGAACAATGGAGGAGCCTTTAAAAAGATACGGTTTATGAGACATTCCCTTTTAGGCCGTGAGAAATATTGGAATCCTAACCCCCTAGTGGAAAGCACTGACTGTAGTATCTCTGAGTAACGTTTCCATGTTTAAAGTTTTGAGTTGATCGCAAGTAGCCTGTTGCTTGTAGTGTGTCAGCGAATCCATGAAAATTACAGAAGGGCGTGAAAAGAAAATAGCCTTTGTCTGAATATGCTGTGGCTGTGTAACTTCACTGAAGTTAACACAGTTCCACCAGTGTGAACCAGGTGTAAGGTAATGGGGAGTCGGGCCCAGTGGGGAATCACTTCCCTCTGTTGGTTTTAAAGTCAGGCCGGATATTCTGATCCTGCAGAGCTCACGGAGTCGTTTGATTTACATGGTTGAAAAGCGTTGGGACAGACCTCGTGTGGTAGGGGTGGAAGTCCTGATTGCGCAGTATGATACAGCCCCTTTTTACACCATTGGGTGGAGTCTGGCATGGCCCCACTGACGTGGGGCTGCCATGCTGTTACTGAATACCCCCATCATTGGGGGGCTCTTTGGCACAAGGGCTCTACACCAAGACCCTACAGGGGGAAGGAGGAGACATGCCACAGTTCTTTTGTGCTGGCATAACTGCTGATGTAGGGCCATGTCACAGGGTAACTGGCCCACTGAAGGGGTCAGACACCCACCCTACCTGTAACAGGCTCCGCTAAGGAGAATGAGCCAGCCCAGACCCACCTGAGGATCGTTAATTGTCTGAGTGGCTGGCAGGTACTTAATTAGGTAAGGAGCAGCTGAGCCTAATAAAAGGCTTATGAGGGCTCAGTCAGGAGGCCCCAGAACGCGGAGAAAGCTCTGGAGGAGAGGGTCTTCTCAGGAGAGCTGTTTCAAGAGCTCACTAGAAAAGAGGATCTAGGAAAGGTGCTCATGGTCCCAAGAGAGCTACGAGGGGCCAAACCCTAGCAGGAGGCTCAGCCCCAGCAAAAGGACTTTACCAACAGAGGCAAGAGGGCCAGGTTGTTGGGGAACTATGCGCTGCTCCAGGGAAGAGCTGCAGAGTCCAGGGAAGGAACCGTTCCTGAGGGCAGGAGGCCTGGCTCCAGAAGAGGGTCCTTGGTTGCGAAGGTCTTACACGTGAAAACCCTGGAGGGAGTAGAAAGGAGGACTCAGTTGGGGGTTGGCTGACTAAGAATACCTGAACCTTCCAGCTAGGATGCTGGATTGAAGGCTTGTTTGCATACCATGTTTGGCTGTTGATTACATAAGCAAGACCCTGAAGGGACATTGTTCACTATCGACAAACCTCGTTGAAGTTCCTGATAGTCCATAAGAGGAAACTGAGGCAGAGACACAACTGAGGTTCCACACCAGGCTGCAATATGGTCCTCCAGCGGTGAGTGCCTGTCATTAACAGGTTATTGCAAGCTGGCACAATTTAGAGCAGTGGCTCTCAACTTTTCCAGACTACTGTACCCCTTTCAGGAGTCTGATTTGTCTTGCATACCCCAAGTTTCTCCTCACTACTTGCCTACAAAATCAGACAAAAATACAAAAGTGTCACAGCACACTTATTGCTGAAAAATTGCTGACTTTCTCATTTTTACCATATACTTATAAAATAAATCAATCGGAATATAAATATCGTACTTACATTTCAGTGTACAGAGCAGTGTACAGAGCAGTATAAACAAGTCATTGCATGAAATTTTAGTTTGTGCTGAGTTCACTAGTGCTTTTATTTAGTTTGTTGTAAAACTAGGCAAATATCGAGATGTATCCCCTGGAAGACCTCTGCGCATCCCCAGGAGTACACGTACCCCTGGTTGAGAACCACTGATTTAGAGCACCCACCAGGTTGTTCTGAGTTGCACCAGAGGCAAAGCAAGCTTCTAAAAAGAGTTAGGGAGGCTCAAATATGAAGATTAGAGAATGGTATATTCCAATGGACACTGATACTCAGAGTCAGGACACACCAAATGGAAGCTGGAAAGAAAGAGCCCAGAATATGTGAACTGTAAGATAAAAAACCTGGCACTTGCACTAACTTAATGACAGCACCTGGTGCACAAGATCCCAGAAGTGATTTAAAAATAGATGTGAAAAGAGGTCACAAACTCCACAAGGACAAGAAAAGAAATTAATGATGCGTCTTTCTTAAGCTGGCTGTGCTGGGAGGAGCTCTGCATACTTAATGCATAACACAGCATGGGCTGGGCTGAGGAAAGGAAGAGCACAGCCGTACGCGGGACAGAGGCGATAACCTCTGGTGCTCTGGATTTTCTTCAAACCATTCATTATTGACATTGGCATTGTCCACCTAACTCTTCAAACCACAATTCAAAACCCAAACAGGCTTTGAAAAAGCAGCTTAGGAATTTGAATATTTAAAGGGAGATGGTCCAGCAAAGAAGGAATTGTCTCTTTTGGCAGTGAAGGGCATAAAACTAGCAGTGGCAATTTTTGGGCTATGCACAACATCAGGGGAACACAGGGGCAGGTGGTGGGCCACTGGTGCTGCATCAACAACTGGCCTGGGACAACTAAATAGGACAGGTTTCAGATGCGCCAATCTTCAGGATAGGCATGCAGCCTGCAGAGAGCACTGGGCAGATTTCTAAAGGCATAAGGTGTATAACTAAATATGTAAAATATGCACATACAGGCTTAATTTGCTCTCACAATTATTAGGATTGTGTGCACAAATCATGTAATTTTGCACATCTGAGTTCTTACAAATGTACCTCCCAGAAGTGCATCACTTGCACATGTCATTACTCCATTTGCAAACCCAACAAGGGTAAATACACATTTTGCCAGTACATTGCATACCTAATATCTTTGCAGATCTGTCTATCAGAGTACTAACGCTGCATGTCTGTTTGGATTAACATGGTGCATTGCATTATAAATCTAATGAACTAAGACTGTGTCTGTGATCTTGTCTCCCTCTAGTGGGTAACAGCAACAACTGTAATAGCCTGCCGTTTACAATTTAAACAATAATAAATCCTGCTTAGCTGTCTGCTCCACTGGTTTTCAACCTGTGGTCTGTGGACCCTGGGGGTCCGCAGACTGTCTAAGATTTCCAAAGGGGTCCACACTTCCATTCTAATTTTTTAGGGGTTCACAAATGAAAAAAGGTTGAAAACCACTGGTCTACTCCATTAGCCCAAGTGGTAGGGGCTTGTGCGTGTGGCATTGAATTTTCCAGGATCAGTACTCAGTAACAGCCATGGTATCTTCATACACACAGCCATGGTTTGTTCTGCTTGTCTCTGTGGTCTGCACCTCTCTATTGAAGATTATTGCAGCCATGGGTCAAACTGAGCAGGGCTGCCCTTTGATCTCCCCTGATCATACAGAACAGGTCCTCCACGTGCCCAGCAGGCACCACTGACCTTCCCAGTGCTGTACGTACCTGTAGGTCAGTGAAGGAGTCAAGTTCCACGTGAAAAATCCATCAGCCTTAATTCCATTCAAATGCCACCATGACAAAAGGGTTCTAGTCAGTGTAAATGGGAGTAGAGGAACGTGAAAGAGAAATGGATTCCCTTTTCTATTCCGCGACCTGGGGTGCAGCCCTGTTCAGGCCAGCCATAGCTTCAGCCCCTGCACTTGCCTGTCTAAAGGGTACAGAGTACAGACTCTCTGCCAATCTTGTGAAAATGCTGACAGGTGTCACCTGACAATCTTTGCGTGTGTTATTTTGCAGCAGCAGCTAGTACTGCAGCAGCAACCCTGCTCTGCCTGGCCCCAGGGGCTTCACTAGGTACAGCAGGCACTTTGCAAGTCCAATGAGAAACGCTACCTCCTTATTTCCGGCAGCTATTTTTAGTAGCTTTTTGTTGGGTTTGGAGAAGAAAAATCAGCACATTATTTGGTCAGAGCCAATTTGTGGCCTTTTCCTCTATCTAAGGTGGAGGGTCTTTTGTCAAATAGCATCTGAATTTGAATATTGAACGGAAACAAAAGAACCCCATGAGTTCATCTTCTAAACTGTATGAAAATATGCTGAAGTTGACACGTGTCAAAAAAAAAAGTTACATGAAGTGGGCTGTAGCTCACGAAAGCTCATGCTCAAATAAATTGGTTAGTCTCTAAGGTGCCACAAGTCCTCCTTTTCTTTCTGCTTATATTTCACAGACTGAGGGCAGGAGAGATTGTAACAGTAGGGTGGAGGGTTTCAGAAGGAAAGCGACTCTTCTCCATATCCGCTGTGTTTGATTTGAGAGGAAAGGAAATGAGGCCAGAGCTGAGGCATACTCAGCGATGGGATAATAAAGCCCTTTCAGATTCACTCCAGTGTGTGTGAAAACCATCTGTTGGCTGTAACCCAAGCTGGAGCTGCCTCTTTTGTGTGAGGCTGGCCGACTTGTAAATCGTGTGTCTCTGCCAATGCTCCCAACCTGAGAATTCAATTGGAAAGATTATTGCTGAATCAAAGGCAGTTGGAGAGAAACAGATGAATTTCTTCAAAGGACTGACAGGAAAGTCCGCTGCTGAGTGCCCTGTGTACTGTGAAGCCGCAAACGGCAGGGGGCAAACTCTCAGGAACAGCGAGCCTGAGTTTGAAAGAGCCGAGCAATGAGTGAATTGTCACACTTGAGCTGTTCTGCAGCTGCGCAGTTTCAGAAGGAGGAAATGAGGGAGCTTTCAGAAATCCTCTGCTTCAGTCCTGCAGGTTTGAGCCACGCTGCAAGTTCCAAAGAGAAACTTGTACTGAACCAGGAAACGGATGCATCTCAAAGTCTGCCGCGGTACCTGAGTTTGGAACCCAGAATAGATCGCCCAGGCCAACCCCCTGCCGGGGCAGGTCTTCTGCTAAACTGTGTCCATGCGTACTTCACAAGCCTGAGTTTGACCGCTCCAAGTGATGATTCTCCCCTGAGAGCAGCGGGACAGTGCATCCCTTGCTAAGTTTGGTATCTGTTGCACGTCTTCCCAAGAGCTGTCATTTGATCTGAACTATGGCAAAGGAAAGAATTTGTTCTCACTTGATCCACTTAACTTTCTGCCAGAAGAGCCCAGTGGTTTCCTTGCAGATGCCAGTGCAGCTTCCCAAGCTGCTATATAAGCACTAGAGCACATACAATACATCAAACTGACTTTGAAGGTCCTTATTTTAGCTGATCTAGCTCAATCCTTTCTGCAGATGTTTCTTCTCAGGCTTGCTAACTTTCTAGACAGCTTTATTTTCCTCTCCTCTCCCCAGGCAGAAGCTGTGGCTTTGCTTGAGGTTGCATAGTACTTTTCTAGGCAGGAACTATTGTTTTGGCCCAGGATTATTATGGGGACAGGATTATGGGGACAGAAGGGCTCTTGTGAATTTCCCACCAACTAGCCTGACTCTGCGAACACCAAGCATGGTGCCTCACTACTGTGGGTAGCTACGCTGGCTTCCGTGGGATGTGCCACCGGCAGCTTACGCACGCTGGGGCCTCGTGGACACCCACGTAGTTACTCTGTTCGCCATTCCCCACCTCCAGTGGCAGTTGCCTTTTGACAAGGCAAGAGGGGGCGGCTGAGACCCAGGTGCAGCACCATCCGCATAGGCTAGGGCTGCGTGAAGCTGAAGCAGTCCCAGATTGCATGGATTGGGTGGGGACAGTGGCCAGGGGAGACCACAGCAGGAATAGGCAGCGACTGGGGACCCTGGGTGGATTCCAGCTGCGGGAGAGAAGGCAGCATGCAGGACACAGTGGCTGGGCGAACCTGGAAGAACATCCAGTGGTGGGAACAATAGCTAAAGCAAGAGAGGCGGGGATGCTGATCTTCCCCCCGCCCCCAACCCATGTGTCTCATCCAGAGAGGGGAGATCTCTGCACTGCAGGTTTTACAGCCACAGGGCTGCTCACAGGGGCACCCTCAGCAATTTTTTCACATGGGGTGCCCAACGCATGGTGCCTCAAGGGATTCCAGCTCTAAGTTTCTCCAACAAAACTCCCGCTCAGTGCAAGCAAACAAAATGGAATCACCCACGGAGCCCCATCACTCAGCCCTAGGCAAACCCCTCTCATGTCCGCCTCCCACGGGCACCCTGCTGCCCCTTTCCTGCCCGGCTCCCCCATGCAGGCACTCACTGCAGCTCCCTGCATTTGTAGCAAGGCTTGAAGCTGTCACTAAGTAAGCTCTGGGGGCAGAGCAGAGGGGATATGGGCTGCTGGAAGTGGGGTTGGGCCAGGCAGGCCCCTGGCGGGGAGAGCTGGCGCAGGAGCTGGTTCCCTGGTAGTGGTAAGGAGAAGCAGCACGGGCCACCCTACTGTCCTCTCAGGTTTGGCCCTCCAGCCCTCCGTCATGACAGGATGACAGGGCCAAATGTGACTGAGTGGCATTGTGACCTGGTGCATGGGGTCACAGTGCCCCATAGCTTTGGACCCATGGCCCCCCCATCATGACCTGAGTGGTGCTGCGACTCCCACGCACCGGGTCACAATGCTACTTGCTCCGTTTTGGCCCTCCCACCCCCGCCAGCCACTCACTACTCCCAGTAGTAAGCACTGTGTCTGTGCAGGACTGGACCCAAAGGTCCCTTTTCCAGGGCTCCAGCTCACATTCAGTACATCTGTCCTGTTCCTCTGCTCCCAGCAGCGCTAACTTGGGAGAGTGTCGCCGCAGAGCAGACAGACCCCATCCTCCAGCAGAGCGGGGAGAAGAAAGCCAGGAAGAGAAGTGGGAGTATAGCATTGATTGGAAGCAGACTGCAGCCAGTAGTTACACCTTCCCCAAGAAGATAGCATGCTTCACCGGGGAGGTGCCTCTCTTAGCTGAGGAATCAGTGAAGCAGACTTCAACAGCTGAATCCCAAATAAAGCAAAAGCATCAGCATTGTCTGCAATTAGTGCTAGATCATATCATGTGAGGCTTGTCTGGAAATGCCACCTGGAACTATTGCACAACCAGGAGACACATGGTGAAAACTCTTAATTCAAGGAGACTGAGGGGGAAATTGACCCCTGTGCAGAGGGTTTCCCCCAAGCTTAATGCAGATCTGTGGGCATTTTGCGCTGGGCTGAATTTTGAAAGTGCTCAGGGCTGGATTTTCAGGTGCTTAGCACCTAGCAGCTCCCACTGTGACGCTTCTAGCCAGATTTTCCACAGCACCAGCATGCTGAGCTTTTTCGAAAATCTGGCCCTTGTGTGAGTGGGCGATGTGCCCTCAGTTGCTTGTGTGCGGCTCGGGCTGGACTATCATGCCGCTCTCTCTGATTTCTTCGGGCAGGTTTGCTACTCATAAGGGGAAATAAATATGCGCAGTGAGCTGAGGCTGGGCTTGTGGATAGCTAATAAGAGTAATTGCGGCTGACTAAATAGTATATACGTGAGTCTAACGTCTCTTCCCCACCATCCCGCAGCCAAGCAGAGCCCCTCGCCAGCCCGTGTTAGTGTAAGTTAACTACCATTTTGCAAAATTGATTTGTACTGATTTGAGACTGAGTGTTAGTGAACATTTGACCCTTATTACAGATTTGTTTTAAGGACCTAATTTTAAGAAGCTGTGAAGTGTGTCACTAAGCAGGCGTGTCTCCCCCCTGTGGGGATGTGACTACAGAGGACTCATAATTACACTTAGCATCCATGTGTAGCAGCTTCTGTGGGGAAGATGGGTCAAAAGCAGGCCAATCATATGTATAAACAGACTAGGAACCTGTGGGACACAATTCAAGCCTTGTCTACAAGGGCTGTTTAGGCAGTTGTGTAGCTGCACTGGCACAAGCCCCTAGTGTAAACGCAGCGCACCAGCGCAAACTGTGATTTGCACCCGCGCAGCTTACACTGGTGTGCCCCACATCTACACTGTAGGTTTGCACCCATGTAGCTACACCAATGGCTAAAACCCCAAAGCAGACAAGGCCATAGGTGCCTTGCAAATGGCATATCACACGCTTGCATCCCTAACAGCTCCATTTTTTATTTTTTTTTTGGCTGCAGTGCTGTATCTTCCTTTCTCACCCTGCTCCCCCTTTGAAGGTACACTCTGTAAATCCTGCATATTCATCCTGGGATGCAGGATTAGTCTTCATGATCATTTCATACCCTTTGCTGAATGAAAACTACTCTGGGAACGTGCTGGATGCTGCCAGGCTGCAAAAGCATTTGATACAGAATGCAAAATGTACTACTCCCACCCTTAGATGGGGTTCCTGGGGGTCAGGAAAGATGCATATTCCGGGGGGAGGGGAGGCATCTCAGTTTGGCATCCCTCACCTGAACTCAATCACTTTGAAACCCCCCATGCCCCAAAGTACTATTGTCCTTGTTTTGTTTTTTGAAAAGGGGGAAGGAGGAACCACTACCAGGCAATAAATTACAGGCCACCCCAGATATTGCTCACCTTTAATCCTGCAGGGAAGGGGTGATGGGAAGCACCTGAACCAGGGACAGGAGAGTTGATTTTTTTTTTTAATCCTAGGTGTTTAATTTATAGCTAAAGAAATATTGTAATCACAGCTAACTACTCCAGCACTACTGGATGGGGGAAGGGGACTTTAAATGCATCACGTGTAACTAGACTGCATGGAAATCAATGAGTTCTGAAAGGAAGAGGTCTGTGGAATATAGCTATTCATTTCAAGCATACATTAAATCAGACTGTTAAATCAGCAGGTTGCTTT